CCAAACACTTCCATTTTCATATAATACAGCTGACAGTTGACTGTGGAATATTTAAGAGCGAGGACATTTCACGACTGGATTTGTTGCATAGGTGGCATCCTATCAGTTCCACGGTGGAATTCACTGAGCTCCCGAGAGCGACCCATTCTTTCGCAAATGTTTGTAAAAACAGTCTGCATGCCTAGGTGCTTCATTTTATACACCTGTGGTCATGGAAGTGATTGGAACACCTGATTCAGATAATTTGGATGGGTGAGCAAGTACTTTAGGCAATGTAGTGTATATATATATATAAAAGGAGATGTTTTTCACTTCACCACTTGCTCTTGCCGAGATAGGACGCTTTTCCCTTCCCCCCTCTCTCCGCTTTGCTTTGCTTTGCTGCTCTGTCTGTCTGTGAAACTGCTTCTGAGCCTCTCCTGCATATCATCCAAACCATAATTATGGACTTGTTTTGCTCAGTTGGTCCCTCAACACAATTGATAAAATTTCTTCAAAGAGAAGACAGGCTTTAGGCGAGCCGATTTGCCCTGTTGGCACGCACGCAGCTGGATATCTCATCGACTTGAAGACTTGATCATGTGTCTATCTCTGCTGACATTTGTGGATTTTAAAAACACATACTTAATTGGATTTACAATAACTAGTTCCTGCTTTTTGGATTCGGCTGGTTGCTGGTTTTATCAACAATCAAGGAAGTCGTCTGCAGCAAATTAAATTTGGACCCGATCACGCTGCTTGCCTTTATGATGGCTTGGTTCATGCCTAGAGTGCCCAGACTCAAATGCTTTGGGCAGAATGGATCAGATCTCGGGGATTTTACTCAGTCAAGTTCCATCGGTGTGGCCATGTAATTTGGACATTTTGGAACCGAGTGGACCAACACAGACTCAAGGTAGATGTCATTAAGTTCTGCCTGTCCCCAAAACATCTGTGTGTTTATCTGAATTTGGCTCCCTTGGCTGGCCTTGAAGGCCATCTTATCTGAAGTCGCCTGGAGAACATGTGATCTGACACTTAACACCCCCTCCCTGAGGAATTTCCAACTGATAACCAGATGAACCCAGCTGAATAAACATTGTGTCATCATTTCAGGACTCTTGGATTCTCATAGACATTATCCTTGGCCATTCCCCAACATACCTCGAGAATGTTTACGGATCTCACCGGAGGACACTGGCTGATTATTACATCCTTATCAGAACTCTTACAGTGCCCTCGAGAGTGTCTATGGACATGCTTACTGCTCTCATCTCCCCCTCTGCAGAATGTCTACGTCACTATGTGCTTTTTTTGTGCAAGCTGTTTTTTTAATATCACTTTTTCTTCTCAGGCAGGAAGAAAAAGTCTGATGGGATTTTTTTTTCGCCTCCAATTTCTGCATGTGTCCAGTTTCACTACTTTTTGTCTGTCTGAACAAATCTCACTTGTAAATTAGTCTTCTAGGCTCAATGTGACTTATCTGTCTAAATAAAGGTTGAATGGAAAAAATGTTTTTGTATGACAACCCAGTGACAAGGATGCCTGTAGCGCCAGCACAACGTTATGACATAACGCGCGCCATTGAGTTTAGATTTGTGAAAATTTACAAATTTGCACTGTTCCGAGTGTTTTCATTGTGTTAGAGAGAGTAAATGTCATGAATAAATCTGACATTAAACATAACCCAAGTTGAAGTGTTACACAATTTTCAGCCCCCTTTTCAGCATCTGTATTTTGTAGCAGGCCAAATTGACAAAGACCATGCAGAATAATGTAGTATTTTAATTCCACAACAAAGAAAGTTATGTAGTCTCTGTAAGTAGGTCTAGAAAAAAATATTGATATTGGTTATCGGCCAAATAAGTTTTAACATATTGGCATATTAGATACAGTCCAAAAATCCAATATTTTGCATCTCTACATATGTTGTTTTGTTGGATTTAATGTTTAGGTTCTGTTAACATTATGGTTAGAAAAAATGATTCTTCAACAAATGGCTAATTTATATGTCACTGCAAGTAAGCCTGTAAAGCTAGTGAGTGATTTTAGGAGTGTTAGGTGACCTTCACAGGAACTGGACTGAGGACAGACATAAATAAATAATTTTCCATGTCCCATTTTTATTCAGTTGAATTAACATGGGATGGTAATCATCAGTTCTTTTCACTTTGGTGTTTTTTTCTTCTTCTCTTTATTATAGCAATATTTTTCTGTAGAGCAGCCATTTTTTGAAGATGACCAATAAAATGGAGGAAAAGTGAAAATGTAATGAGTTTACCCCAAAGGTACTTAATGTTATTGTTAAATGTAGATCTGAATGAATGTCAGTATAACACACAGTGTTGTAGCAGATTACTGAAGTAGAGGCAAACAGTGTTTTACAATGTGTGCACATCAGGTAAATATAAAGACCTAACGAGGTTGAGTCAGGTTCTCCGATGGGTTCTTCTTTGTTGAAACGTTTTATCTTTCATCCAAACACTTCTTAAGTCTGAGGAGCTGCAACAAACAGTTCCTCTCTGTCAAAGATGTGAACATCTTCACCCCTGA